TGTGGTCATCAATGTCACTGATGCTGGTGGTACTGATATTGTCCACTTCTCCATGGGAGAACTCTGTGCTTTCAACATCCACTTCAATCTCCTCTGCCAAAGAGAAAAAAGAGAAAGAACGTTAGTAACACAGATACCTTCAAAAATAAGCAAGCTATGTGGAAAAGAAAAGATAGAAAATAATACACAAGCACGTTATCAGAAGAGTCTGGAGACAGAACAAAAGGGCTATTTCTTTAAAAGGGAATACCTCTTAAATTGGTGGTCTCAATTTAGGAAAAAGTTTACTAAACCCTGTGACGCCAGTTCGTCTGGACTTCCCACTGAAAACACTTGGCCTACTTGGGAATTAGTGTTTAATATTAAAAGATCCCAATTCCAAGAAGTTAAACAGCATCTGTTTTGCATCAAGCCAGGATCTAATTCTCAATGCTGTTTATTAATCAAGGTTGCCCTTAAGGGGGAAAAAAGCATAAACTTAATATAGGTGAAGCAGAATCCCCAGACCTCTGGTGGTGTCACACTTCTACAGACCATTAGGATACCACAGGATACACCATAAAGTTCTGCCACTACCCAGTAACCAAAGTGAGTTACAAAACAAAGTTATTACAAAACAGACTCAGAGATCTTAAATTCAGCATCATTTTCTTTCATGAAATACAGCTTGAAGTAAGGGCATAAGGCCTTAAAAATCTCTGAATTATATTGAGATCTGTAGTAAAGACTGTAATAAAGGCATTTTGGTGGTAGTATTTAAGTTTTACTTCAAAACACCAAGCAACATGATAAAAAACCTTCTAAATATATATGAGGCCTCTCTTCCATATTTCCTGTCAAGGAGGGATGTCCATCCCTTTGGGGATATAACTTTGTAAAAATCTACCTTTTTACCTTCGAAAAAGAAATATATATAATGCAGCTATTTTTAAAAAGTTAAATATTTCAAATATAATCAACAATACTATAGAAAAAGCAATGCAGGCATTTTGAAAGCAAAAAGCAGCTGAAAACTGTTCCCCCCACAACAGATGGAATAATGAACTTGGGATTTTTCAATTCTCTTAAATCAGACAATCTGAAAGCTTGATGTTTCATATCTGGCACAGACTTTAAGACCTTACAACTGCTTCAGGAAAAGTGGACTCTAATATTTCAAAGCATAATTTTAAAAACAGCTTGTTCCTGGCCAGTTTTAGAGATCTGCTTTAAAATAGAAGCAGCTGACCAAACACACAGTACAAGTAGTCCAAGGAATGAATATCCCTTTGCTTCATCTTTGTAAGTCTTCACAGCTCGATCAGTGCTCACCCGTACCACGGAACACCTATACATCCTGGGAAACAACAGCCCGACACCTTAACACAACAACTTGGAACTGAACTCAAAGTAAAATGACAGCCTGATCTAACCAGATGGACTAGTTGTTCGTCGGTGCATGGAGTCGATTACACTTCACAATGACATTGTAATAGCAGATCTGGACCTTGATTCTGTGCCATCCCCACCCTCTTGGACATACTATCCCAAGCACAATGTCCTTTTCCAAAGACCAAAACAACATGCCCAGGGCATGTGAGATGAAGTTCCACCATCCCTGCCTCCAAGAAGCCCTCTGGCTGCACCTTCACCAAGTCAAACTTGTTTGTTCTTTTGGCGGCCTGTGCGATATTCAGTATTACTCGCCCACAACTCAAAAGCATCTATGATTCTTCTGTCATTCTTACTTAGTCAATGTTCAACTTTCAGATGCACAACAAGTAACTGAAAGAGCCTGGCTTGAATCAGGTACACCTTAGTCTTTACATTCATGTCACTGCTCCTTAACTCCTTGGAGAGGTGGTTTCAGTAGATTTGGCCAGTGCAATATGATTTCATGCATGCTGGTTGTGGATCCAAGCACAATGGAACTGCTGACAACTGCTATCTTCCTTGTCTATGTGCATGATGCCAGCTGGCGTTTCAAATCCCTCTTGCTTTAAACAAACAAGGTTGTTCATCTGCACACCACAGGCTGTTGATGAGTCTTCCCCCAACCCTGCTGCCACATTCTTCTCCATAAAGTTCAGCTTCTTGAATGATTTGCTTGGCATACAAAGGGACTCAATAGGGAGAAAGGATACAGCCTTACCACATTTCTTTTTTTGTTAAATTTTTTAACTTTTTTCTTTTTCATACACCTTTCTTCATTTCAACTCAGAGCAGTGTTCTCTTGCTCTGTTTGGGTGACAGCTTCTTGGTCTAAGTATAGGTTTCACAGAAGCACAACTAAGAGTTCTGGGAGTCCCATTCTTCTCAATGTTAGCCATAATCTGCTATGATCCACCCAGTTAAATTACTAGTCTAGATTGACTAGAGGTGTCAGCACAAATCCCTTGTAACAATGGGGGGGGAGGAACGGGGGCGGGCGGAAAACATTACTAGATGAGAATAAGAATGGTACTAGGGTCCTCGGTCCATACCACACCAGTAGTGTTAAGAAAAACTAAGTGCTATTATCTGAATACACGCCTTCTCTGAAATCTGGTGGAGGAGATGGACAGAAGACTACTGTCTCTCACTGTCTTGGAATCAACTCACAGCAGACCCTCCAATGGGTTTCTGCGGCAGTAAATGGCACAGGAGGAAACTGCCCATTTCTCTCCTGCAGAATCACTGGTGAATTCAAACTGCGAAGAGATGTGGCCTCTGGGTGAGCAGTTCAAGTGCCTATGCTCCGTACACGGCATGCAGCTGAGAGAAGACACAGCCACGGTCAGCCTCCTGGCTGAGGGCCCTTCCTTTCTTTTCAAATTTTTTACTTTGCTTTAGTTGAAAGCTTGCAGAGCAAATGATTTCCCTTCCGGCAGTTTGTACGCAAACTATTCCATGACACTGGTTAAATTCCCCCTTTTCATTTCTGCCCTGGGCTCCCCATTTTGTGCCATCCAAATTGTCAGCCCTTTCTTACGCTGTCATTTTTGCTTGATGGCGAAATGTTCTTTTAATCTTGAATAACTGACTGTTCTGAGGAACACATTGCTCTCCCATGGTGTTTGAATTATTACAGACCTATTATTTAAACTCTCGTGACACAGTGGTTAAGCAGGCTGATTGTGTATTGAAAGGTCATTGGTTCAAATAAACTGCTTATAGATAGATTCACAGCCTAGGAAACTATGGGGCAGGTTTACTCTACCCTAAAGGGTCACTAGGGAGCTCTGGTAGCTTAGTGGTAAGGAGTTGCACTGCCAGCCTAGAGGCAGGCAGTTCAAATCCACCAACTGCTCTACATTAGGACAAATGGGCCATTTTCAGATACTCTGAAAGCTGCTAGTAAGCCAGCTAGGAGTGGAACGCCTTTCAGCTCACAGTGATCAACAGCAATGGGTCACCGAGTCAGGGTGGACTCCACTGCAGTAATTCCGGGCTCGGGGTCAGTTATCTGGCCGAGAGCTGGGCTATCCAGAAAAACTCAAGGTTATGTCTGCTTTATGTCCCTGTCATCAGGCCTGAAAGTTTTTGCTATTGTCTTAGGTAGAGACTTCAAAACTTAGTGCCACAGACATACCATAAATATTCTGCATCTACTTCGGTGAGTGTCTGAGGTCTTCACAGCATTCAAGTGGTCATCTAAAATACAACTATTGCTTTCTACTCGTCTAGTGCAAAAGAGAATGAAAGAAACCAGAGACTGAAAGAAAAAGGCAGTCTACAGGCCTGACAGCACACAAGCCTCACAGCCCCCAGGAGTCTGAGACCACAACTAGACGATGTCTGGCTACCACGAGTGACCATTCTGACTGGGGACACAACAAATAGCCCCGGGGCGGGGGGAGGAATACAATTCAAGTTCCTTAAAAAAAGTGTCAGACTAACTGGACTGACAGATACCAGAGGAAACCTAAGATGATCAAAGTCTACCCTTTGAACTTGGAATGGAGGCTACTCCTAGAGGTCACCTGTTTTTAGAGAAAGAATGAATGTGGCTTATGAAATGACACCACCCATGAGGAGTTAACTTAGTATTATGAAACTCAAGAGTGAACATTTACCCAAAATCAAGATGAGAAAGCAAGAAAGAATGAGAAGCTAGTTTAGTGCTGTCAGGTCAAGGGAGACTCATCCTGACACCGATGAACAACAGGTCTGAACCCTGTCCTGTCCTGTGCCGTCCTCACAATCTGACACACTCGAGTCCACTGCCGCAGCCACTGTGTCAATCCACCTGGTTGAGGGTCCTCCTTTCTTTCACCCTCATGATGCCCCTTGTCAAGGAACAGCCTCTCCTAGCAACAAGCTCCAAGAATGTGAGTGAAGGTCTCCAAGGAGCACTCTGGCTGCAGTTTCTCCTAGATATATCGTTTGTTCTGTTGGCCGTACATAGGATAATCGGTACTCTTCTCCAACAGCTCAATGGCATCAATTTCTCTTCTGTCATCCTTCTTCAGTGTCCAGCTCTCAGGAGCACAGCCAAGTGACTGAAGAGACTATGGTCTGAATCAGGTGCACCTTAGTACTCAAAAGAACATCATCACTCCTTGCCAGGGCAACATGTCAGAGTGAAGCAAATAATGAGAACGATGATAGGCTGTGGAAAAACTCGAGCCAATGTCACGAAGTAATCTGCAAAAAAATACTAAAGAAACCTAAGTTGAGGTTTCACTATCCTTGCCTCTAAGGAGCACTCTGGCTGGATTTCTGTTCTTCTCGCAGTATGTTCAATCATCTTTAAATTCAAAAGCATCAGTTCTTTTGTCTTCCTGTTCACTGACCAACTCACCAGCACACAAAGCAACTGGGAAGACCGGGGCTTGGATCAGTACACCTTTGTCTTTACTCTTCCGCACTCTGGAGAGGTCCCTGACAGCCGACTTCCCGATGCAATACATGTTTTGATTTCTTAACTGCTGCCTCCATGGGTACTGATTGTGATCCACATAATACGAAATCGCTGACAACTTCAGTCTGTTCTCCGTCTTATCATTGCACTGTTTACTGGTCCAGTGGTAAGGATTTTTGTTTCCTCGATGTTGAGGTGTAATGCATAATCCACACTGGAAGCTGTAGTTTTTAATCTTCATCAGGAAATTCTGCAAGTCTTCTTCACATTCAACAAGCAAGATATACAACAGGTTGCTGATGAGTCTTCCTCCAATCCCAAGGTCACATTCTTCAGATAATCCAGCGTCTCAGATTATGTGCTCAGCATACACTTTCATTAAATACGGTGAAGAGATAAAACCCTGATGCACAGCTTTCCTGATTTAAACCAAGAACGGTGCTTGAGAACTTTAGAGTTCTTTTACTTTTTCTGTATGTTTAAAATGCTTTCAAAACAGAAGTTTAAAATACATACGTTCATTTTTAAAAAGAAAAGCTCCATCCTTCACACAGACATGACAGGGACAATTCTCTACTGGAAAAGCTAGAATGTTAAAGTGTCAGTTAAAAAAACAGAAAGTAAATTGTGCCACGGTGCCTCACAGCATATCCTCCCTAAGCTCAGACACAGCCCCGTGCCACTTAAGTGCATCTCGCGGTCTATGAAACACGATGCTCAGTGACTGAGGACCTGTGAGGACCGTAAACCAAGAGCAGCACCATTCAGTGATTTTCCACATTTGTATTGTTTAGTTGACATTCTCTTCTGCTTCTAATTCCATGCTTCTCTGCTTCTTGTTGCTGCTGTCCCTAGGACTGGTTTTGCTACTTCTGGGAGCCGTGATACACTACCAGGCAAAGAGAAAAGGAAGCAGGTAATACTATAGTACTCAAGATCCACAAGCTTGTATGCTGCTGCCTACAACTTGTAGGATGAGGCGTTACATGGTAAACACTGTATTTGTAAGCAGGTAAAGTTTACATTAAAGTAAAAGTCTGTTTCTCCTGCAAAACAGCTTTTGGTTACCAGCAGTGACCTTGCAGTTAGTTAGTTAGTTGCTAATTAAACACAACACCATCACAGCTTCTTGATTAGAATTTTTGAAAAGAAATTCTTGTTTCTCATGATACTTTAAACTATAAAATTATTGATAAACCTTAAATAAGACGGCATCACCATTTAAACTATTTTGACAAATAGATTTCAGTGGCATTCATTACATTCACAATGTTGTGCAACCCAGCGTCGCTGTCACTGTGGAAACTCAAACCGATTCCTTTTCAGTCAGAACTGATGTCTTGCTGATTTCCAAGGCCGTGAAGAAGAATGCCCATTTTGCTCCTGAGGAACTGCTGGTGGACTTCAGTAGCCTGAGAGGAGGGCCTTTGGGTTAGCAGTGCTAACTCCTTATGGACTAGGCTACCATCCAGATACACAGCAAACAATTTTCACTACTTCAAGCAGAAACTTAGTATCCATTAAGCTAGAACTCCACTCAACTTTCTATGAATGGGTCTATTCTAGTTATTTAGTATTTGGAAGCAGGAGTGGCATCCACTTCCTAAGTAACATGCCTCTGGAAACTCTATGAACTTTGATAAATGTTGATCAGTTGTAGAGGGGCTTCAGGCCTTTTGTTCACAGGGTCGCTATGGGTCATACTTGACCCGAAGGCAATCAACAACAGTACACAGTAAAATAGAGCACATACACAAGTCACTAACACAGACATTTATTATGACTATCAAGAAACGGTAGTGCATGTTATACACACCTGGCCAACTAATCACTTTGTGTAGGACAGACAGGAGACACATGTGCTGCCCGTGGGAAACTGTTACATCGTGCCCTCTGATCAGGATTTCTGAACTCTTGCAGTTATAACCTTATGGGACCAGGGACAGATGTGCGGTTGGACATGACCTAGCTGAACACTATACAACATGTAACAGCACAGAGATGTTCAGTGTCCTGTCAGGGAAGAAGCAAGCTGCCTACCTCGCTCTGAATCAGAACGATCTGAAGAAATAGTTGATCCAATGCTGTCCATTCGTATTCGCTCCATCTCCTGAGGACCCTGCAGCTGTTCCAGTCGCCGCTTTAAAAATCTCTGTTCTCGTTCCAAGTTCTCAAGCTGGTGCTGGCTCTTCCTCTCAGCTTCTTCAAGTTTCTAAAATGATAAAAATACTGTTTACATTCAGGCACAGCCCAGGACAAACAAGAAAACATACTCATTCCTATGAAACGACTCAAAAGAGTTGGGGTTTTGTTTCTTTTTTTTGTAGAGAAAGCGTAAATATACATCTCTGTGAGCATACGGGTATAGAAAACTTTGTCTGCCTTCACTCTGTGTGTACGTAATGAAAGCTCCATGATTTGAACAAGATGGGATTCCTAGAGTCTGTCATCACCATGAAGGAGAAACTCCTCTATGCAGTGTGCAGTTTGATGGAAAAATACTGGGGGGCAGAGCCAAGGGAAGTCATCTCCAGCAGAGGGCACAAGTGCCTTTCCACTGAGCATCAGGAGGGTGACTGTTATTCTCCTATGTATCTCAGCTCTCCACAGAGCAATGCTGTCAAAACAATTTTAGTTCATCAGGTTAGTTGGTAAATGTTCAGAAATATTTCTCTTGAGATCAGTTCTGCTGAAGGGCACAGTGAGCTCAGCTGAGGTGTATGAACAGTACCGTTGTTAATAATTAAACTAGGACTGAGAACCACTTAGAAAGGTACACATTTTCACCTTGATGTGTGCTTTGGCTTTGTTGAGCAAACCAAGTGTTGTGTGCCTGGTGCAGTCTGGTCCAAGTGGAATCAGAACTTTTAAGCGTTCTAAACACAGGCGCAGATGAGCTCGTCTAAGAAAGAGAGAAAACAAAAATGTACAAAAAGTATTAGCATGGCTGGGATAAGTACACCAGAAACATCTTAAAATCTATTTTCAGGAAAAACAGTCATTTGCACGCTCTCCAGCTTGTCACCGTCTGACGCTTCTGTTTTCAGGGAGCAATGAGGGCAGCTGCTCATGCCTGGGCCTCTCGTGTCTGTGTTGGGAATCCCGGATGACCCTGCCTATAGTGAGCTGTTCTGCTTAACCCAAAGGCCGCATGTCTGACTCCATCATGGGCCAGGGAAAGAAAGATGGGCGCTCTCCTACGACCTGACTCAGAAACTGACCAAGGGTTGTTAGGAGTGACTCACAGGAGGGAATGAGAAAGTCATTTTTGTTAACACTCTTCAAACTCCAGTCACTTTGACTTATTATCCCCAATGGCAATCTCTGTCAGCAATGTTTCTTTTCTTCAGTCCATCCTATTAATGGTCTCAACCGAATGGATAGGGAAGTGGGAAAGTATACTAGTACTTGGTTTCATTGCCTAGAACTGCCAGCTACAGGAGAGGCTTCCACCAGAAGCCTCATTATTGTCATGACAGGAGTCCAGAACGAAGGCTGCACGGCGGAGTGGACTTGGGGGGGGAGGGATTGTATAGCAATGAAAGAACTTTACTTCTCAAAGACAAGAATGAACTGGAGGGGAGGGGTGGGCAGGGAGAAAAGTCTCACAAAGAATGAATGGGCATCCAAAATCTGTAAATTTTCATTAAAATCAATAATTAAAAAAACCCTCACGGATTTCTAAGTCATCCTTCCCACATTTATTTCACTTACACACAAGCATATGCATCTCCCCACGACTACAGCTGTCCTGTGTGCCACACGTTACTGTTTTAGCTTGACCCATATTTCTGATGTGCAACCATTTCTCACTTACTATAAAAATGGTTCTTTCCTCTGATTCAACTTTGAAACCACTAAATCCAGTGAGTGACCAGAAAACGTTCCACAGACTGTATGATGTTCTGGTCAATTCTGGACGCTCTGGTGGTCGAGGCAGCTGGCAGTTGGGCAGCTAACCTGAAGGTGGCATTTCTCTGGCAGTTCCAACCCATCAATCTGTGGGGCCAAGATGGGAGCGCTCCTCCTGTGTCATTTCAGCCTCTGAAAACTTTCTGGAGGGTCAGTTATGAATTGGTTCCAACTCAATGGTAATGTATTTACTTTTCTTTACGGTCAAGGCTAGTCACTGAAACAAGAGCCCATAACATAGTCCCTGCTACCTAATATTGAAGAGTACTGAATATACCATGGACTGCTAAGAAAATGAACAGGTTCTACCTGGAGAGGGTTAAACCAGGCTGCTCCTTGGAGGCAAGGATTCTGAGCCTTTGTCTGACATACTTTGGACACGGTGCAAGGAGGGACCAGTCCTTGGAGAAGGATGTCATGCTTGGGAGGGTGGAGGGACAGTGCAGGTGGGGAAGGCCCTCTATGAGGTGGATTGATTGATTCAGTGACTGGAGTAATCTGGGTGGGTGTGTCGGAGACGGTGTGATTGGCACAGGACAAAGCAGGGTTTAGGGATCTTGCACATAAGGTCGCTATGAGTCGCAGGTGACTTGACGGCATATAACACCACCACCACCACCACCACAGTTCATTAGCTTTTCATTTTCATTTCTCTTTCTACTACTCCCTTCTATTTCCTGCTTAAGGGGAAAACACATTTGACAAATCCTTAACTAAAAATCACTGTTAATCTCTAATCCACTCAGCCTATAGGAGTTTCTGAACTTGGGGGACATTTCCACTGTAAGTAGTACTGGTGGATTGACTTTCCCTTTGACGCTCAAGAGTTATGATCACAATGGCCTGAATGTAGACTAGGTATATGATTCCATCCTACACTACTAGCCCACACCTCTGGTGCGCCGCATGAGGCCAGGACTTCTCCCAGGTTACCCTGACTCCTTTAAAGAGCTAAAACTGCCTTTTTTAGCAACTGTCTCAATAAGTGAACCAGAACAAACCATGTTCTCAGAGGATCAAAAATGGATTTACTAGCTCACTTACCAAACTATGCTTTATGTCTTAATGTTGTGTTGTTGTTGACTGCCTTTGAGTCGAGCAGATATATAAGCAATAATATCAACTTAAATTCTCCAATTTTAACCATGTGAGAGAGAGGTCAGAGAAGGTCTGACAGGTAACCAGGAAGATACAGAGATAGTGAAGTCATGAAGGTTTCGGCTGACAAACTGTCAAGATTCCTCCAGGGTCTACGAGCCCCACTGGCTATGGTTAAAGGTCAAAAAATGAGTATTTCAATGGTGACTCTACTAGGTTAACTACCTAACCACCACTAATTGCCCCAGTATGAAGCCTGACATACCTGGGGTTTGGGAAAAAAAAAAGAATGCTTGTTTTTTTTCTATTTTCCTTAAATCACCCAAGTGTATCCGTGGATTCCCTTTAATGAGACTTAACAGTTTAAAAGTCACTTTCCTCCCCTGCTATGCTCAAATTCATTGAGCTTTTAGCAGAATTTTCAACTGGGAAATCTTTTAGGTGAGGATTTTTACATAATTACACTGTGCTTTTGCTGGGCTGAATGAACGACGGGTAAAAAAAAATAAAATAAGAAACTCAGAGTAACAAAGTGTCTTCAAATGCTTCATTAAGATTATTCTAACGTATGTCTCACACTGTGCATCTATGATACGACTTGAGGGTGCAGAGAGGGAGGCTGGCAGTTCTTTCGCTAATGAGAACCTCCCAAAGGAGTTCTGAATTCCATCACCTAAGAGAGAATGTTAACAAACTTCAAAAGGATCACTGCCACCGAGTCAGACTCCCAGCTGACCCTCCGGTGGGCTTCCAAGATCACAGTGGAGGAGGTTGTCCCTCTCTCTCCTGAGAAGATGCTAAATGAAGCTGAGCCACCACAGAGGCTGGGTTAAAAGAACAAGTCTCGATGGAACCCGGGCACCAGAGCACTCCTGAGAGTCAGGGGGTCAGGGGTCAGGGTGGAGAGCGTTAATAGATCAACTAGGAAAAGTCAAGCAAGCAGCAAAACTTGAAAAATGTACTCAGTGTCACTGAATCGTCCCATGTAAAACATAAACTACTGAAGGGACCCATCTTCCACTGTGCATATTCTTAGTAACAAAAACAAAAAAAAAATTATTTAACAAAATTATTTCCATAATACTTGGTAATTATGTTCAAACTACCTAATACCAGAAATTCTATATATATAGGATCTTTTATTTTTTTGCTTAAGAAACTTGAAAATAATTCTTGACTGTAGTTTCAGGTCAAGGAAAAGAAAGGTAGGACAGCTTTCTTTTCACTTGGGCAGAAATCAACTAACATTATCCAAGTAACCATGTTTTCATTAATCAATCACTTAACTTGGTGCTGTATTCTTGTTACAAGACTTTCGTGTATCTAGGGCTATTCCAGATACTTGCTTGAATACGAAGAGTTAACGAGAAATGTATATGTCAATAGTTTATCATTTGACAACAGAATAAACCCCATTTTTGTTTCACATTGAAATGAGTCCTACAGATAGATATTAAGGGCAACAGAATCTTAAGAAAAGGAGAGCTTGTAATGAAACGAGAAAGACTTCTTAGAAGAGTTTAAGACTTAACTTTGGACTTAAAGGAGATTTATCTAAATGAAAAGGGGTTCAGGAAGTAATCAAAAGAAGAGTAAATAATCCCATTTGGAAAAACTGGGACCAACTGTAATCCTAAAACTAAAAATTAAAACCAAGCAAACAAAAAACTTTCTTTCTTTCTTTCATGAGAAAAAAACAAAACAAAACAAAACACGGAATTGGAACGATATATGGAAGTACTCGCCAGAATCCATATTCTGGAGGCCTGAACTGTCATCGTCAAATCAGGAGCTACGGAGGCTAACACAGTTGAAGTTCAAATGATACCTTAAGCAACAGAGAAGGCAGAATTTCCTCCAAAGGATCTTTCAATAGTCATTTAAGTAAGTATAAATCTGCTCCAAAATATAGCTCCCACTGGGAAGGCATCCCCTGAGATACCATGCCCCCAAAATGCTCGAGATGCCATTCTAAGTCCTCCAAAACAGACGTTAGCATGAGGCATAAATGGCAAAGGACAGTCTCCACTTCCCTGTGGGGAGATGTGAACCTATGGGAAGTAGTAGCATTTCCTTCAGGTTTTCCATCTATAAGCAGATTAGGCATTTGAAGAGTTGTTGTGAGCCGCTGAGTCAGAACCCACTCATAGCAGACCCTCCAGCAGGTTTTCAGAGGCAGTAAATCACACAGAAGGAGAAGGCCCATCCAACTGCCAAGCAGCAGCTGGTGGGTTCGAGCCACCGGGGCCTTTGGGATTGCACTGCAGCTTCTTCTAAACAACGGAAGATGAATGGCGGGTGCGGAACAGCAGCTGGCCAAGGAGGAGCCATACGTTTCAGAGTCACCATCCAAGTACTGCACACAGTCTCCCACATGTGCTTATATTCCCTTTGGTTAAAGCACCTGTCCAAGAGCAATGAATAGCCTGTGACTCTAAACTGTAACGAGTTTATTAGGAAAGCCACTCACAGTAACGTGGAAGTCCCTTCTCTCCAGCAAAATTACTGAAACAAGAACTGTGTCTCAAAATTCCTCTCCCCTTGCAAAGGGGGATGTGCTCCACCTTTCCCGCACAATCCCCCCGTTGGTAACCAGATTGCAAGCTTAACCACCAACGACCTAGAAAGGCCTATCTTTGGATGCCATCTGGTCCTTTGTTTTCTTGCCTCCATCCTCATGTGACTGGTGGCTTGGGAACCTCCTGGATGGAGTTGCCAAATCTTACGCTGTATGGTTTGGGGGAAGGGAAAGAGACTAGAAGACAGAAAAGTAAAAAAGCTTGTTGTCTTGAGCCGAAAATCCTTATGGCTTGAGGAAAAGATTGCAAGTGTCCTACAATGACGTTTTTCTAGTCTCCAGGGAACAGAGTCCCTGACAGAGAGAATTAAAGA